GAAGTTCCTTTGTTATTTTGGATTAATTCTGTCCTCTAAATGAGAATCTTGTCAACTCTGATTTTTGAGCACATAGCCTCTTTTGGTCCTAATTTGTGCAGGGAGTATCAGTCATAGAGCATTAAAGCGTAATTATAAGTGCAGAAAATAATCTTTTTGTTCTCGAGGACTTTATGAATTGACAGCTTTCATAATAATATGCTATAACGCATATTAACTTTTTGTTGTGGGTTTTTTTTTCATGGAGTCATTCCGCTGGCTAATGAATATATGAATATAGGATATAGAAATAGAAATGATAGAAAGCAAACCATATTATCAGCAAAGAGGGAAAAACAAGAGTAGTGCTTATGAAAGCCTCGGCATGGTCAAAGAGAAACGATATGTCATTAAAGTCCATAACAATATGTTATTTCCTACAGAGCGTGCAATAAATTGAAATGAGCTCGAACTGCAAGTTGCAGCAGGATATCCTTTGCTTTCCGTGATGCAACTGCGTCACAGAAGTGTCTTGCTTTTCGGAAGCAAATACCAGCAAATGGAGCTCAGCATCTGAGCGGTTTAATTAGGCTTCGATGCGATGTCTGGCTTAATATGAAAGATATTCTGGGTGTCACAGGGCAGTGAGTAGCACCTATGATTAGATTTGATCTATTCTGCTTAATGAGGCCTATTAATAATACCTTGGCATTCTTATTTCAGAAATTGCCCTCTATGTCTAATGAGGTGGAGAACCCAATAAAAAATTAACCATGCACTCTTAACGAACTTTTAAATCTCTCGAAGGTGATTATGAATTCCGTGGTTCAAGTGACAAAATAAAGGAGCGCAAGGAGGAGGACGAGCGGGAGCCAGCCAGCAGGGGAACACTGTCTGTGGCTCGCTCGCCAGATGTTACTCGCAAGAAAAACGACATGCTCGCCCAGCCAGAAACCAGCTCCCAGCCCCAGGAAAACCCACCAGCCCCACGGACACTGCGGGTAAAATATCAATTTGTTATTATTGTTGTTGTTAACATAGGGATCGATTTTTT